AAAAATAATCCAAAGTTTTTTCTCTGTTTGGACTTCGTTTGATATTGATTTTCTGAAAAGCCAAAAACATGCAGAAAACAGCAGTTGGCACTGGGAACTAAGTTAATAGGTTAGTCCCAAAAAATGATATATAATTGCATATAATGACATATAAAACATCCAAGATTGATACTGTAATAGCATGGAACAATAAAAAAAATTAGATACGTTGGAGACATATCAAGCATCCCCAAGCTTAATTCCTGCTCGTCCTCGAGTAGGTAAATGGTAAAAGAAGATTTTTTTGATGTGGAATGCTACCTATCACATTCATTATATAATATTTTCTTTTGCAACATGGATATTTAGATTTGATTGATTCAAAGCTATAGTCTATAATTTGACATGAAAGCATCACTACTCAAGTATACCAACAAGCAACCATGTCTTTCAAAATATCAACACTAAAGAAAGTTATCTCTAGCCCATTATGCCCAGTCATTGATCCATTCATGAAACACACTCAACATTAGCTATAACCAATGCACAAGTATGAAAATAGTGTTCCTAGTTGGTGCTTTATAAGAGAAGACGGGGACTCAAATAAAAATAAAAATTGCATAAAAGTAAATAGATAGGCCCTTCACAGAGGGAAGCAGAGATTTGCATAGGTGCCAGAGCCTAAAGTTTAAAATAGAGATAAAATTGTTTTTGAGATAGGCATGCTTTTCCTATAAACGAAAACAACCGAGAATTCCCAATATCTTCCATGCTAGACAAATTATAGACGGTTCCCAAGCAAAAAGTAAAGTTTATTTCATTTCCACCATTCTTTCACAATCCATGGATAGCCAGGGGTCGGAATGTCATTGCAATAAAACCAGGTCGACTGCCAACCCCTAACTGACTCGGGAAAGGTCATGGAAGGGAAGGCGCTTCTACCTCTCATCTGAACACCTAAGCCCCCACACAGCTGGATCACGTGGGTCCTCGCGTCACACGGATTCACTTTCTTAACCGACTATGAGCTGCACGTGAACATGTGTTTGAACAATCCCCAGTGGGGGCGACAACCCAAGAAATTATCACACATTGAAACGAAGGCAACTAGGAATGATATGGCATTTGGAGGGAGGTGGCCGATTTGCGCATCGAAAAAGTCCAGAAAACCACGGAAAAACAGATGAGGAGGTAAAGAAAAACCTCTCTCTTCACCATATGGGTGAGGAGGAGGACCTGCTCTTCTGTGCGCGGGGCCGGCTCGATCTCCCCCTCCGACAGCCTCCAAGAACCAGGGGCCAGCAGGCCACCGGTGGTGAGCCCCTCGAGGTCCTCCGCCGTGACTGTCGAGGGCAACCAGTCACCCTAGATCCAGCCCGGCGGCAGAGTGGGCCGGGAGCTCGACGCCTTCTTCCCCTTGTCCACCTTCTTGGCGCGCTCCAGCTTTGCCGTCTTGTCCTTCGCCATCTCCGCGGTGGTCGTCAGAGCCGAGCGGGGCGACACGGTGCAGGGGCGGAAGAGGTAGAGGAACGGGATGGAGAGGGGAAAAGTGGAGGATACTGTTACCTCCCTCGGCTGCATCGCTCTTTATCCCCTCACGCCCGAATGGTTGACTGGTGGGCCAACGTGATTCCAGTGCATCCCGCCACTGACGCCTGCCTGATACGTGGCGATAAAGGGGAGCAAAAATCGAGGAGTCCGTCCCCACTTACCGCGTTGCGGCCGGCCCGCACGCTTCTCCAAATTTTTGAATCCCGCGAAATCCGGGATCCGACGAAACAATCGGTCACACCAGAGACATCCATGTTCATTTGGGTCAGATCCAACGCTCGACGTCTCGCAACTTATCTCATTCGGACATTCAACACACCAGAATCGATCAAGGCAATTGATGAAGGGTCCGGCAGCTCATATACCTTCAGACTTCCGAAGAATGTCTCCGGGACATTGAGTCTGGTCAAAATTAGCTCCAATCCCTTTTCACTCAAACCTTGATCCATTCGGGGGCCAAGAACACTATGCAAAGAATCCAAGACCTGCAAAGTTAGAAAGGGGATACCGGCTGGAATGGCCGCAGTGTGCAAGTCACTTGACAGAAGATCCACTCGGTTACTACACCCTCACTTAACCGTCGTTATTCACTTGGATCACATGGTTTCACTTGAAGAACAGAAGACTTAGAGCCACCCCAGGATGTCAACGGTCAGGCAATCAATCTGTCGCTATAAAGATCATTAATTACGGGCATTACCAGTAACGTTCTCATCTTTACTCTCTCATTGAACCCTTGCGTTATTGATGGCTACGAGGGGCCAGCATACTTTATATAATCCACCCCTCTTCTCCTGCATAAGGGTTTGCCCCCCCTATAAATCAACAGTCAAAACAAACAAAGCTCCCATAGCACTGAGAAGTAGGACTATTACCTCCTCTGAGAGGGGCCTGAACTCGTAAATCCGAGTATACAATCTCGCCGTAGCCAGACTCTGCCCTTTCCTACATACCCCCTACATCTACTGTCAGATCCGTTGCCACTACACACACCCTACCCCTATGAGCACATCCGAAAGACCGAGCCGGCATATCATCTTGAAATTTACAAAGTCACCGTAGGCACCCCGTCGTCGACGAAAACGTCTCTCCCACTGAACGTGCATCGCCGGAAATCCTGAAATAAATCCAAAAGTAAATGCGAGCACCAGAAATTGAACGCTGATGGGCTGGGGATACCATAGTCCCTCTAACGTGAACGCTTCTTAGGTCGACTGGTTTAGCTACTCTGCATGCCTTAGTCGTGTGTCTCTGCGTCCGTCGGGTCGCGTCAAATAGGAGCTCCCTCGTTTTTTTTTTCCGTTCGAGGGGTGGTAATAGGAGGTTCCTCGTACAAGGCCCTTTTATGGCCGGGCCAGCTCATATGGCCATGTCAGGGCCCACTCTGCTAAAGCATTTTGAGCCCATGAGCAGCCAGGCCCATCCGTTTCCGTCTGAATCCCCGTGTGCCACGACCGTACTACTCGCGAGGCGGCGCATGGCGAGGCGGCGACCGCCGGCGAGAGAGACGAGGGATCCCGACGTCGCCCGGTCGGGAGGCGCGACTCCTCCTCCTACGCCTCGCGCTCGCCGGCGGCGCCGCTGCCCTCGACCCTGTCGTTCCCTCCCCCAGTATGTGCGCACCATTCCGAAGCGTCTGCCTACTTCGATTTAGTTTTGGTTAAAGCATCTGTGTCGCGCCTACTTCGATTGTTGCTTAGCAGTATGTGGATCCCGATTCGATTATCTGAAGAAAAAGCTTGCTTCCAGGTTTCGATTTGAAGGGCATTTGGTCTGGGATCTCTTCCTGGAGTGTTCGAGATGGGCAATCAGTTCCTTCAAAAATAATTATATGCGTAATCAGTTCCTTCAAGAAACATATATGCACCACACTGGGCACGGGCCATGTCATATATCTTTTGGGATAGGGGTGGCGACAAGCATTGGAACCCAGGGCGGTCGCCCATAGCGTGGATACTTTCTCTTTTAGAAGTTTTTATTGATTTTAGGCTTGGCCCTGGTTGTTTCTTCCTCAGTTTGTCCCATCCAGCTTAGAGGCTGTATCAATGTTTACCATCATTCGCATATCTTCCTTGTTAAGGAATCAGTTATATACCCTTTTTTTTCTTCGTAGAAATCATCCGCTCATCTCATTATTTTTGTTGGTACATTATCGTGTGGATAGATATGTAGGTTTGATGCCTAAAAAGAGCAGATGTGGTGATGCAATTGGGGCTAGGGTGAGTGTCTATTGCGGCATTAAGATAGCATGCAATCATGGCTACAACTACTGGTTTTTGTCTTTTGTGAAGTTATCTTGTACATCGGTGCAATTAGTGCTCATGCATACATCATGTAGGATTGCGTGCTCGCAACATTGCCTGCCATGCGCCATGTACCACCACAAGATCAAATTCACGGGCATGAATTAACCCATTGATTATGTGATATATCGTCATGACACCTCTGCACAGGAAGACTCCTTGTAGAATTCTTGGTGTGCATGACAGCATATGCTATAAATCAGTGAAACTGTTGCATGTTATAAGTAATGAAGCTGGCCAAGAAATTACCTTATTTACTCTCCAGACTTTTTCCTGAGGAATCATCTTAAAGCAGCACATCACCATTTGGTTTGTTTTGACATTTGAAAGTTGAGACTTGAGACCCTTTAGGACTTGGAAGTTCTAATGGTTACAACTGAAGTATTGATATGTTTGCTAATTAATAGGTGAATGGCCTGCTTGCTTTGTTTCTTTCATATTAACACTAGGTACTGAATGAAGAAAAAAAATATTACTGTGGGCTAGAGCTAGGAAGAGCATGTATGTGTCCTAAACAGAATTCGAAACAGAAGAGAAATAAATAGAACAATTAGGTTTTCATGCATCTGTTCAATCTGTTTGTCTTTTTTGAACTTGTTTCTGCATTGACTGTTCAAAATGCAGTTTGGGTCACATCAAAGGATGTGCCAAAAGCAAGCGTGGTGATAGAGAACAGATAACCTTCTTAGACCATGTACAATCTTAGAGAGGTGCTTAGTAAAATAGACCGTGTTTTTCTTAAGCACCAGTGCTTATGTCTGTGACAGGGGTACCTAATTAAGCATCTGCTCTCTACAGATAAGCACCGGCTTGCATTGTACATGGTCTTGCATGTTCTTTACATTGGAAACTGAAGAAGCACAAGAGGACAAAATAATGATGATGTTAACTTTTATTTCTCAAGTAAGTATATCTTGTTCAACCTCCCTGTCCAAATACAGGTCACTTTTTGAATAAAAAATTAGATGGACTATACTCCTTAAGTTCTTGTCCTTTTCTGACATCGTCTGCTATATAGTGTGTATCTTTTGGCTTTGGTGAAGGTCTCACGCCAAAAGAAGGTATTAGATCCATATATGGTTAGATCCATCACAAACATTGGTAGCCTTTCAGCGTCAAAAAACATTGGTAGCCTTCGTTTCTTCCCCTTAGGGTCTCACTGACCTGATGGAAAATCTTTCAGTTTTAGTTCTTGATCAGGATCCGGTTTCCCTGTGGACCATCTCCAATATGCTTGCTAGATTCAACTTCAAAGGTGCGCACTTCAATTCCCAAGCATCTCCATTTCAAATTTTCCCTTTCCTGTCCAAAAAGGAAGTTGTGTTTCGAGGGAGAATGAAAGATAGTAGGTACAAGATTTTGCATATTCATGGGGCTACTATAAAAGGCACAATTTGATGCCTGTTGGTGTCTTCTATCCACACAGGCACATCTGATCGAATTTCAGATATTTCATATTTCTGCTGTTTGGTGGAAAGTTTGGGTGTACGCTGTTTGGCTGGAAGTTTGGGTGTACGGCTGTTTGGCGGGAATTTTGGTTGTACGACTGCTTGGCGTGAAGTTTGGGTGTACGGTCGTCCGGTGGTAATATTTATAGGTCCTATCCATCATGATCTGGACCACCAATTAACGGTTGGATGGCTTGCGTGTGTGGATATAGAACGCTTCTCATGACGTGAAGTTTGGTGAGCTATGGCCCCACATGGCAGTGAACCTGTCCTCGGTATCATGCATTGATTACGAGTCGAGGGACTAGTCGAGACTAGTCGCTAGGCTAGTCTATGAGTCGCATTCTGGGTGTCGACTAGAAATCTCGTGTAGACTAGTTCGCCGAGTCGAGGAGTCGAAGGACTAGTCATAGACTAGTCTAGACTAGTCGTGCACCTTGAGTCGTTCGACCCAATTTTTTTATTTTTTAGGGATTGGGAGGGGATAAGTGAGCCAGCCACCCTGCCCCTTTCCTCCATTGCTTATGCTCTTCATGGATCTGCACTCCTCTGCTCTGGCCCTTTCCCTCCATTGCTTCTGCTCTCCCTAGATCTGCCCTACGGTCTCCCTCTGCTGCCTTCTGGCTACTGGATCCGCTCGTCCCTCAGGTTGCAGTAAGCAAGCAAGCATACTAGCAAAGTAATTTCTCCCTTCTCTTCTTCCCTTCTTTGATTCGATTTTTACCCCCTGCCCTCTTCTTTATTTCGTTTTGTTTGCTTCAGTTTCAAGATCCTTAGGTCTAAAGTGCAATGCCTATGCGGGAAATATCTCAAGTACTGTATTCAGCAGCTGCAGCTCAGACCAATGAGCAATATGATCCATCGAAGGATCCTGCAAGAAGCCAACTAGGAGCAAGGATCCAACATGGAAATATGCTTACTGGACTAATCTGCAGGACAAATTGACGCTCCAATGCACTTTCTATAGTATATATTACATATTAATACTAGGTTTTAGTAATTGATTACTGCAAGTTGTGAACTACAGTACCATGTCGACTAGTCCAGCAGTAGTCTAGACTAGTCACGATTAGTCTATGAGTCTCAACCTTCGAACGACTCATCGACTCGTCGACTCGTAAACGTTGGTATCATGTATAGATTGTACAACCATCATATACACGGAGCATTTCCGTACATATATGACATTTTTAAACAGAAAGGAAACAGATGCAGTTCCATATAGGATATAGTGTTAGTGCGTCACCCTTCCAAAGGACATTAGATTATATAGCATATGTGTGTGTAATATATTGTGTGAACTTCACAGTTTAAACAGAGGCAGCATATGTAGTTCGTAATGGGATATAGCTAGCTGCTAGTTACTGGGCCGCCCTTCCAAGTGCTAGTATTAGATTGCAGAAAGTGTTGGATTATGTGGTCAAATGAGAAAAATCACATACCAAGTAGCTATATTAGTCCTTAGAAGATACTCACTTGTTGCAATAGTACGTGCAGGTTGGGATATTAATATAACTATATTTGGACATGATAACATGGTGTTTACTCTCCAAAGTTTGTTTTGTAGTTCTTCCTTTCCATACACCGGAAGAGGCCCTAGATTCCCTTAAAAGGGGGGTTGCTAAAGATAAGGAGCTTGATTTGATAGTAGCGGAAGTTCATCCTGGCAATACAGAGTTGGGCACCTTGGTGCTGTTTTACCACATCCTGAATGAACTTGAAGTGCCTCTCATCAGTAAGCATTTGTATTGAGAGCTGTATTGTTTTAAGAAATTTTTCTTCCATCCCAAACTCATAAATCTAGGAGTGTTTTTTCTTGGCTGCAGCTATGTGTGCCTATGATGAGGCAGTCTCTGCACGTATGACCCTTGGAACATGCTTCAATGTGGTTAAGCCGTTGGATACTGAAACCATCAATGTTCTGAGGATGAGAGCACTGCAACACAGGTCTATTAAAAATCACAAGTCTGAAACTGAGGATGAAGAACAAGATGCGTTGGACGCAAATGTCTATTCCGATAATCTGGGTCGGTTCACGTGGAGCAGTGAGCTCCATGAAAAGTTCTTGCAGGCTGTTGAAGTGCTTGGGGCGTGTAAGGCTATCTGCACTTGGCATAAATCAGTCATTTATTATGTTTAGAAGCTAAAAAAACATTACCTTTGAGTGTGTGTTTTCTTTTTGGCTGACAGCTGCCACGGCTGGAAAAATTCACCAGTACATGAATGCCAAGGATTTGAATTTGACCAGACAGCATGTCGCAAGCCATCTCCAGGTGGGTGATGGATTTAGTTTATCTGCAACTGTGGTATTGCCAGTACATCAATATGCAGCATGTACGCTTTTCTTAATTTTTGTTTGTTTAATAGACGATCATAAGTAGTAGAAGCCCTATGCATTTGCATATGCTAGTTAGTTTAAACTGATTGAACATTTGGCATTTGAGCCTTATATTTTTCTTTCGTCCTATGCACTTTCCTGAACGGAACTTTTTGTTTTTGCCACTAATTAAGATGATATTGTCATTCTGCTATAGCCTTGAAGTTCGATGACATGGCCTTAGTTCTGTCCAGTCATTGGTTCCCACCACTACAGCTGACATTGATTGCCATTGCCAACCTGATCTCCCATGCATGAATATCTGTTTAAGATGGCACCTACGACGTACTTGCCATTTCTATACACATATATTGATTAACCAACAGAATGGTTGCGGCTTTGCCTAAACTAATCTAGTAGAACCAGCTAATTGCAAGAGATCTGCTCACGGTGGTCATCATTACACGATTCCCGAAGTTGCAGCTGTATGCCACCACTTGGACATCATCTTTGTCACCATTTTGTACCCTGGCACGTTAAGTACCAGCAGCTAGTGCTGCTCGGACAAAGTCATGGTCTCCGAATCTGGCTCGGATTCGGATTTCTGATTTGGCAAGATTTTGAGGGACACGGTAACTAACACAGGGAGGCTGGCATGGATGCTGACTGACCAAAGAAATTGATGTTACGTGCAGATGAGTCCTTTTATCAACTCATGTGCTCATTAACATACAGTGATTGGGTGAAAGGGAAAAATGTAAAAGAGAAACAAACACCTACTGGAATAGCAACAACAACATAATAATCAATTTTTTATGATTGGTTTGATCTTAGTGTGAAAAATAAAACATTCCCCTCTGCTATTTATTTTGTGTAAATATAGGTTCTGCAGTGTTCAATCAATTGGGTAATTTTCTGTGGCAACAGTGTCTGAGTTCACAAAATTTTAAAGAACTATGTGCACGCTGTTGAAGAAACAAATGGGAAGATAACTTTATTTAATTTTTGACCTTTTAATTCACACCCCAGTAAAAGCTCACACAGTTACGGGCAAGCTCACATGCTAAATACAAGGGTCAAGATCACATTTTAACATGATGAACTTGGAAGGAAAGAATGTTTCCACCGCGATACTCTACTGTGTCCCCTTTGTTATTTCTTTATTTTCCAGAAGAAACACATGTACATGGATGTCTTATACTTGCATCAGTACTTAGTAGTGAGTACTCTGTCTCTGCATGCCATGGAGTTTAAGTTTTGTATGGTGCTCTAGATCAGATTACAAATTTCCAAACCATGCAGCTTCAGGAGTAGATTTTGTTACAGAACCAATCACAATTGAAAAAAAAACTTTTTGCATGTTAGCAAGTTGTCGTAATTCGTAAATAATCAGACTATCCAAAGCATTATTATAACCCAGTTTACCAAATCGATGGATTAATAATTGTTATCATGTTAATTGGAATTTTGTGAGTAATGTACTACTTTATTGGTATTTTCTCCTTTATTCTGTTAAATTGGGGCCTTATTGACGTGACTTTGGTCAGCTGATGCTAGCAGTAGGGTTTTGGCTTCTTTTTGTCCTTGTTGCTAGTGTTTGTTTGTATTCTTCGTGCTTTCTTGGCACTCTCCTTCTAACACAAAGTGAAACACGTCTGGGCTTGTGTTTGAGAGAGAAAAGCGTGCATACTCTACAAGTTTCAAGTTCATCTATTTCAGCGTTGTTATGACAAAGCGCTAAAATTTCTGCGTTCTCTCACTTTCTATATTGTGATGTGTGATCCCTGTCTTGACTGTTCTGTTCTGTATTTTGATGTAGAAACACCGGCTGCGGGCGCAGAGGTTATCTCAAGGTTATCAACATTATGCCAGCATGAAAGAATTATCTGAGATGATTTCATCGTCATACAAGTTAGCCAGTGCTAAACCCAATAATTATCTGGCAACAACCCAGACGCAGTTCACACATGGGGTTGCCTCTTCTATCTGGGACAAGTACCCTGGGATCGTGTGGCCACATGTGGAGGGAAGTTCAGCTGCCTCTGCTATGTGGTACAAATACCCCGGAAAGCCGTGGGGACAAGTGGGGGAGAGCTCGGCCAGAGCAGAAGTTTCCCAGATTAATGCAGGCCCACCTTCTGTTCTGATACATGGTACCAAGTCCATTTGGGACCGGTACGAGGAGAGCCTGCAGTACTATAATGGGAGCCCGGCAAATAAATGTGAGGTGCTGCCTGTGAAGAGCAAAACACTTGATGTATATGGATGCAATATTTTCATCAACCTGGAGAGAGGGGAGACCAGTCGTACGGAAGCAGCAGGCAAGATTGTCATCGGCCTGGAGAGCGATGACATGCACGAAGGCAGCATGGAAAACGTGCATGCTGCAGTTACTCCGCAGAAAGATACCATGGAGAAGGTGCGTGCCGCAGTTACTCCGCAGAAAGATGCCATGGACGAGGTGCACGCTGCAGCTATTCCGCATGGAGTGAAGGAGGTGCCTGCTGCAGCCATGGGCGCTGGTGATCTGATGGACCTTGGGAGCGAAGCCCTGCTTGACGGTATGGACAACTACCACCCCAGTGCAGAGAATGCGCAGTCTGAGCCTTTCAGTGACTCGGATTGGGATGAGTTGGAGAAATTCTGGATGAACCAGATGGAAGGACAGGGCCAGGAGCAGCAAGGCCTCGTGCCATTGGATCTGCTCCTGGTAGACGGCATTGCGCCAGATGAACTGCTCCAGGAAGACGAAGCCTGGAACCAGGCGCTTCAGCCGGCAAACCCGGCGAACGTCGTCAACAACACACCCATAGCTGAAGAACCCGCCACTGGAGATGCCCTGGTGTACGATCTTGCGAACCAATCCGGCGTCGCCGACAACGTGTTCTGGGTCTGGAGCCCCCAGTTTGCGGGCGACGACTACGGCATGCCGTTCTAGGCCCACCAGAAGAGGAGCAACTCAAGAACTGCTTTTATTTTAGTAGTAATAATAAGACTGGTGAAGTATAAGCAATAAAGTTTCCTAGGGAGAAATCCCCAGGAGATATATGGGAGAGCTGCTGATGCTCGGACATGTTTCCAGTGCTCTGTGGCATTGATTAAACCCATTCGTTAATCGGTTTCCAGACTTGTACATATTATCTTCCTCTGTGATGCATTATGACTATATAATTCCGTACGTGTGTCAGTTCTATACTTCTATCTAGTCTAGGGTTTTTGTTCTTCGAACAAAGGAGCACCAATTGCCAGGCTTCTTTGATTCAATCCAACACAAGTTTTTTTTGGAGGATTTGAGTCCTTGGAAAAAAAGCGTAGTTTGTTTGATTTTCATCGTGTGATTTGGATTCATAGAGAATTTCCATAACCATTTATTTGAACTTTAGTAAATGTGTCCACGCACCGGAAGAAACAATGATCATGTTACCAAACCAAATAGCAACACCCAATCATTAAAAGAAAATGGGTCGGACGGTACATAAAGTTGGGTGAGAGGGGATATAATCCAATTTCTGGCGGTACATACAGTCTGTTCACCAGGCTTCTTTGGTTTAATCCAATTTCACAAGATCTTTTTGGGAGGATTTGAGTCCTTATGAAAAAAGTGTAGTTTGTTTGATTTCCATCGCGTGATTTTAATTCATAGAAAATTTCAATGAGGATTTATTTGCACTCTATTTGGAGGAAAACGTTCATCCACAGTTACAGTTCTGTTTTTCCTAGGTTTTCAAACGCTCATCGGTACTGAAGTTTTTACATCTTGTAAGATGTATTGGAATCAATATGGTTTTTTTATTTGTTGGTTTCGATTTACATGTCAAAATTATTTGAGGATTTTTCCCCGAATGATTTCTTTACACTAGGCTTTTTGGGTTCAGTTAGTCATTCCTTTAGAAGCCTCAAGTTAATATCCACTTATCCGTATGTAATCTTGATTCAGTTTTATTTCATTATTTCTACGTTGCATTGTTCTGCATATAAATCATGGTTTATTTCATAAGAATCTCCTATACCTCTGTTCTCCTTTTTTACTCACATCTCTTGACTTGTAGGTTATATCCAAAGAAGCTTGATATGCTTCCCACAATTTTCCAATTACCCTAATGATTGGTTTTTATACATTGATTGATTTTCCTTGTAGTGGGTCAACGTTCTACAATATTAAGTTTTGATGGGTGATTTAATTTGAACATGCTAAGTTCATCATGTTTTTAGGAGAAATTAAATGAAGGTGTCATTCACAAATTTACGATCCGGTCAATGATTCTAATATCTAAAGAAAGGACATCAGGCAATGTAATCTTCCCCTTGGGCCGGCTCCTGCCGGGGTTGATTCCTTGAAAAGTGCCCGTAGCCTTGAGCCCCTCGTCAGGGATCTGCAATTTGCTAACCACCTTAGGGGAGATCAAACCCGCCCCCACCATCAACTAGCATCTTTGTTACTTTGAGGTTGCGGATTGTTGGGGAAACCAACAACGACAAACACCCGACCGCAGTGGTACGGTCAGGGTGATCCTCCTCGTCAAAGATGATAGGCGTGCGGGACCATTTGAGTGGCTTTTGGGAGTCTGCAGCTGGTTCCACGACATTGACCTCACTGTTGGAAATATGCCCTAGAGGTAATAATAAAATGGTTATTATTATATTTCCTTGTTCATAATAATTGTCTATTGTTCATGCTATAATTGTGTTATCCGGAAATCATAATACATGTGTGAATACATAGACCACAACATGTCCCTAGTGAGCCTCTAGTTGACTAGCTCGTTGATCAATAGATGGTTACAGTTTCCTGACCATGGACATTGGATGTCATTGATAACGGGATCACGTCATTAGGAGAATGATGTGATGGAAAAGACCCAATCCTAAGCATAGCGCAAGATCGTGTAGTTCGTCTGCTAAAGCTTTTCTAATGTCAAGTATCTTTTCCTTAGACCATGAGATTGTGCAACTTCCGGATACTATAGGAATACTTTGGGTGTGCCAAACGTCACAACGTAACTGGGTGGCTATAAAGGTGCACTACGGGTATCTCCGAAAGTGTCTGTTGGGTTGGCACGAATCAAGACTGGGATTTGTCACTCGGTATGATGGAGAGGTATCTCTGGGCCCACTCGGTAAGACATCATCATAATGAGCTCAATGTGACTAAGGGTTGGTCACGGGGTGATGTGTTGCGGAACGAGTAAAGTGACTTGCCGGTAACGAGATTGAACGAGGTATTGGGATACCGACGATCGAATCTCGGGCAAGTAACGTACCGATTGACAAAGGGAATTGTATACGGGATTGCTTGAATCCTCGACATCGTGGTTCATCCGATAAGATCATCGTGGAACATGTGGGAGCCAACATGGGTATCCAGATCCCGCTGTTGGTTATTGGCCGGAGAGTTGTCTCGGTCATGTCCGCATGGTTCCCGAACCCGTAGGGTCTACACACTTAAGATTTGATGACGCTAGGGTCATTAGGAAGATTTGTATGTGATTACCGAATGTTGTTCGGAGTCCCGGATGAGATCCCAGACGTCACGAGGAGTTCCGGAATAGTCCGGAGGTGAAGATTTATATATGGGAAGTCATCATACGGTCACCGTAAATATTCTGGGGTATGCCAATATTGTATCGGGACCACCGGAGGGGTTCCGGGGGTCCACCGGGAGGGTTCACCTGCCCCGGAGGGCCTTATGGGTTGTAGGTGGAAGGGAACCAGCCCCTAGTGGGCTGGGCGCCATCCCACCCTAGGGCCCATGCGCCTAGGGTTTGGGGGGAACCCTAAAGGGGGGCGCCACCCTTGCTTGGGGGGCAAGCCCCCTCCCCCTTGGCTGCCGCCTCCCCTCTAGATCTCATCTAGAGGGGCCGGCCCCCCTTCCCCCTTCTCCCTATAAATAGAGGGGCGAGGGGAGGGCTGCAGCACCACATCCAAGGCGCAGCCCCTTCCCTCCCCAACACCTCTCCTCCTCCGCGTGAGCTTGGCGAAGCCCTGCCGGAGAATTGCCACTCCATCACCACCACGTCGTCGTGCTGCTTTTGGAGCCTTCTTCCTCAACCTCTCCCTCCTCCTTGCTGGATCAAGGCGCGGGAGACGTCACTGGGCTGCACGTGTGTTGAACGCGGAGGCACCGTTGTTCGGTGCTTAGATCGAATTCGGCCGCGATCTGAATCGCTACGTGTACGACTCCTCCAACCGCGTTCTTGCAACGCTTCCGACTCACGATCTTCAAGGGTATGAAGATGCACTCCCCTCTCTCTCGTTGCTAGTTACTCCATAGATTGATCTTTGTGATGCGTAGAATTTTTTTAATTTCTGCAACGATCCCCAATAGTGGCATCATGAGCTAGGTCTATGCGTAGTTTCTATGCACGAGTAGAACACAAGTTGTTGTGGGCATCGATTTTGTCAATTTACTTGCCGTTACTAGTCTTATCTTGATTCGGCGACATCGTGGGATGAAGCGGCCCGGACTGACCTTACACGTACGCTTACGTGACACTGGTTCTACCGACTGACATGCACTAGTTGCATAAGGTGGCTAGCGGGTGTCTGTCTCTCCCACTTTAGTCGGATCGGATTCAATGAAAAGGGTCCTTATGAAGGGTAAATATAAATTGGCATATCACGTTGTGGTTTTGGCGTAGGTAAGAAACATTCTTGCTAGAAACCTATAGCAGCCACGTAAAAAACCTTGCAACAACAATTAGAGGACGTCTAACTTGTTTTTGCAGCATATGCCGTGTGATGTGATATGGCCAAAAGGATGTGATGAATGATATATGTGATGTATGAGATTGATCATGTTCTTGTAATAGGAATCACGACTTGCATGTCGATGAGTATGACAACCGGCATGAGCCATAGGAGTTGTCTTAATTTATTTATGACCTGCGTGTCAACATAAACGTCATGTAATTACTTTACTTTATCGCTAATCGTTAGCCATAGTAGTAGAAGTAATAGTTGGCGAGACAACTTCATGAAGACACGATGATGCAGATCATGATGATGGAGGTCATGGTGTCATGCCGGTGACGATGATGATCATGGCACCCCGAAGATGAAGATCAAAAGGAGAAAAATGACATTGGCCATATCATGTCACTATTTGATTGCATGTGATGTTTATCATGTTTTTACATCTTATTTGCTTAGAACGACGGTAGCATAAATAAGATGATCCCTCATTAAAATATCAAGAATGGTGTCCCCCTTAACTGTGCACCGTTGCTAAGGTCCGTTGTTCCGAAGCACCACATGATGATCGGGTGTGATAGGTTCTAACGTTCGCATACAACGGGTGTAAGCCAGATTTACACACGCAATACACTTAAGTTGACTTGACGAGCCTAGCATGTACAGACATGGCCTCGGAACACGGAAGACCGAAAGGTCAAACATGAGTCGTATAGAAGATACGATCAACATGAAGATGTTCACTGATGATGACCAGTCCATCTCACGTGATGATCGGACACGACCTAGTTGACTCGGATCATGTATCACTTAGATGACTAGAGGGATGTCTATCTGAGTGGGAGTTCATTAAATAATTTGATTAGATGAACTTAATTTTCATGAACATAGTCTAAAAAACTTTGCAATATGTCTTGTAGATCAAATGGCCCATGCTAATGTTGCCCTCAACTTCAATGCGTTCCTAGAGAAAACAAAGCTGAAAGACGATGACAGCAACTACATGGACTGGGTCCGTAACCTGAGGATTATCCTCATAGCTGCCAAGAAAGCATATGTCCTTGATGCACCGCTAGGTGAAGCACCTGTTTTCCCAGCAGATCAAGATGTTATGAACGCCTGGTAGACGCGCAGTGATGATTACTCCCTGGTTCAGTGCGACATGCTTTCTAGCTTAGAACCGGGGCTCCAAAAGCGTTTTGAGCAACACAGAGCATATGAGATGTTCCAAGAGCTGAAAATGGTTTT